AGTTATTAGATTAAAAGAAGCCAGTGCCATAGAAGCAAGAAAACAATTTGATGAGGTAAGATTATAACATATCATACACATGCTACCTCTCATGCCAAGCATTCACACAGAAAGATTATAGTGAGACCTTGATTTCAAGAATAACTTTAACTAGGATTTTTGCATAGTATCTTCCTTTTCAAAGCATTTTGCAGCTGTCTGCTCAGTTCGCCGAAAAAAATCGCCTTCTCCGCGAGAAAGAACGACAGATAGAAGAAAATCGTCATAAGATTGAGGAATCTGTCAAACACATCTCTGATGCTGAAATGAAAGCTAGGAAACTGGTTAGATTGATTTACTTTTGCGTGGAAGTATATCTGAAAGCTGAATTTAGGAAGCAGAGCTCTCACAAAGTGAAGCACAGCGGGTAGCTGTATCTGACTCGGAATCCGAGTTACGTAATAGACTCACCGAACATGAGTCAATGTTGGTCAATTTGAAACAGCAAGTTGAAAAAGTAGGTGTTATCCTTACTAGATCTGGTTTGAGCAAGGGTTTTTGGGATTTTGTTCCGCATCTTTCTTACACTTTAGCCTCTATTTTCTTCTACCTTAACATGTGCTTTGATTAACACCGCTGGTAGTTTCGATAAATCATGATATTCTGTTGTTTTTGTTAAAGGCGTTCTTACAGTTAACGGCAGAGTTGAACGCCAAAGATCAGGCACTCCAAGATGCAATAAAGGAAGCTAGCGAAAAAGAAGAGCACTGGAAGAAGAAGCGCGAGGAGTTTGAGCGCCAGATTGAGAAGGATCACGAACACAATGAAGATCTTTTGAAGACAACGAAAGAGCTACAAAGCTCTTTGGAATCTGAAAGGGAGGAGAACGCATCACGAAAGGTTTTCCTTGTCGATTGTTCTTTTTATAGGGGGAGTATTGGTACCGCTATTTTTGTTGACAACATTTTAAGGCATCATTTTCACCTGTGAACTTTAGGATAAGAGTTCTATTTTCCATTTTTTGTTCTAAAAACGGCCTTTCTTTCAAAATTATTGATTGATAACTTAACTGCAACTAATGCCTGGGCTCTTT